ACTTCAATCTAATGTATGAAATATGATATGTCAAGAGCTTTGTAATGTTGTGAACAACCAATAAAAAAAAAAAAAAAAAAAAAGAAATCCAAAAAAGGTTCTTAAATTTGATTGGTTTCACTTTTTTCATAACATGTACAGTTTCTTGCGTGGACAGTATAAAAATATACAATATAAAACTTCATAAATATAAAAAACATCAATAACAGCAAATGTCAATATTTTTAATGGTGTTACTGAAGTATAAATTACACTAAAATAAGATTCGATCATTTTATGTTCACAGTGAGGTTATCTTTAGTGAATGCCTGACGTCATGTTATCAACATCACAATAAAAATATAAAATATTTTCATTAAAAAAAAATTTGCTGAAATTTATACAATTGGAATAAGAAGTTTAAAATAGTAAAAATCTTATATTATTGTAAAGGGTGATGGATCAAAAGGTTACCTAAATTAGACATCATACAAAATAACAAAATTTGGGATGGTGCAAGACAATAAAACAGAATGTGTAGACTATATTAATCTACATTAAATTGAATCTTTTTTTAAAAAAATATTTATTTTTTAGTTCTCGGCGGACACAACATCTTTGTTGGTATGTGGTGCTGAGGATCGAACCAGGCCGCATGCATGCCAGGCAAGCGCGCTACCGCTTGAGCCACATCCCCAGCCCCTTAAATTGAATCTTAAATGTGAATTTCAAAAGTATTACTGTTGTTCAATACCATGTTGTTGCTTCACTAACCCAATTTTCAATGACTGGATTTTATAATCAAAACAGAAAAACGAAAATCTGGTTATGTTCTGGTTATTTCCAAAATAGTAATCAAACTATATCCAATTCAATAAGTATTTAATTTTATACCTAAGATAATAAGTAGTATTGTCTTATTTAACCTATTAAGTCCCAAGATTTCAATTTTACAACTTGCTCAATGAAACTGACAGAGGTTCATTAAAATAGGTCAGAACTCATAATCTAGAGATTATATTATTACTTAATATCATATTACAATTATATTTTTATCGCAATATAACTATGCACTTATTGAAGTAGTTCCACCCCACCTTGGGTAGTCCTGGGAATTGAAGTAGGGGCACTTTACCATTGAGGTACACCCATAGCCTTTTTTTTTTTTTTTAAATTTTTTAGTTGTAGATGGACACAATTTCTTTCTTTCTCTTTCTTTTCCTTCCTTCCTTCCTCCCTCCCTCCCTCCCTCTCTCTCTCTCTTTCTTTCTTTCTTTTGCTGAGGATTAAATCCAGTGCCTCACATGTCCTAGACAAGCACTCTTCCACTGAGCCACAACTCCAGCCTGTCCAGCTCTTTTGATTTGAGGTAGGATTTGGCTAAATTGCCCAGACTGGCCTCTAACTTGTAATCTTCCTGCCTTGGCCTCTCAAGTAGCTGGGAAATTATAGGTATGTACTACCATGCCTGGCTATATCTAAGTTTTATTTTCCCCAGTACTGGAGATTGAACCCAGGGCCTTGTGTATGCTAGGCAAGCTCTCTACCATCAAACTACACCATAGCCCTTATATTTAAATTCTTATAGGTGTTTCACATCTGGGACTTTGGGACAAAAAATAGGTTAATATTAAATCATTAAGTATTAAGGGCAGCTCTCAACACAAAACAATAAATGTATTCTTTTGAAATTTCAGTTAAATAAGAAAAATCCCATCTCAGTAGGATAGTATGTGAACATTAAGCCATGCAGCCAAATCAATTCCTACCACTTTAAGTTAAAGGCCAGTAAATATGAAATTTTGTTCTTTTTTTTTGGGGGGGGAGTGGTGGTGCCCAATCCCAGCCATTTTTGTTTTTATTTTATTTAAAAAAACATTTTTTTTTTTTAGTTGAAGATGGACACATACCTTTTACTTTATGTTTATGTAGTACTGAGGATTGAACCTAGTGCCTCACACATGCTAGGCAAGCGCTCTACCACTGTGCTACAACCCCAGCCCCCAGCCCTTTTTATTTTGAGACATGATCTTAACTTGTGATCCTGGTGTCTCACCCTCCCAAGTAGCTGATATTACAGGCATGGTACCTGGCCCATTAAAAAGAAAGAGAAAAAAAAAATCTTCTTCTTTTTTTTTTTTTTAATGGTACTGGGGATTGAGCCCAGGGCCTTGCACATGCTAGGCAAGTACCCTGCTATGCCCCCAGCCCCATTCAATTTTAATGTAAAGGTATCATGGAAGAATTCAAAGATAATAACACATGGGGACTGACTGTAGGCAGGAATAAATACATTTACAAATAAAAATACATTTATTAAATATAATGAATAAAATCATACATTTTAGTAGGACCTATGTTTAGCAGCATATTATAACAAGAGCTCGATTCTTTCTTCTTTTTTAAAAAAAATATTTCTTAGTTATAGATGAACATAATACCTTTATTTATTTATGTGGAGCTGACAATTATAGTTTACCACCATTTTACAGACAGGGAACCAAGGCTCAGAAAGTTTAAGTAAATTGCCCAAAGTCACCCAGTTAGTGAGAAAGTGTGTGCAACACAAACAGTTCAATTTGACTGAAGAAAAAGACACTCAAATATCAGTGGTTGTTAAGATTTGATGCTTGGAGTTTAGGTGGAGGGACTCAATGCTAAGATATGAAATCTGGACTTTATTTTGCAGACAGTGGTAAGTTGTTAAAACACAGTCAATAATTGGCAAGACTTATCTGGGCACCAAACTTTAAGATGTGGGAGGGTCAATTAGCTGGGCCAGGGTATTACACCCTCAGCATTACTGACATTTGGGTTCAGATACTTCTTGGTTGTTGAAGGCCATCCAATATCTTGTGGGATGTTTAGCGCATCCCCAACCTTGACCCACCAGACGCCGGCAGCACTAAACTCCTCAGCCCCTCTTAAGAATCACTGAGAAATGTTGAGCAGGAGAAGAATACAAAGATAGAAGAAAGTATCTGCAGGAAACTAAAGAAAGAAGAAATCTACTCATTTGCAGGAATACCTGATAGGATTTAACAATTCATAACATCTAAGAATGAGAACTAGTTTCATTCTCTGAAATTCTCAAATATTTGTTAAGAAACAGGAAGGAAATCTAAAATTACACATGAGAACAGTCCTTTTGCTTTTTAAATAATCACCATTTTACCAGTCTCTGATGAATTCAGATACCTACAAGACTTCATTCATCAGCTCACCAACAAAATAATGTTTAAATAAACGTTGTCACAAAAATCTCTATTCTTCTTAATGTTGGAACTTATGGTTTAATAATTTTTCTTCTTTTTTGCTGTACTGGGATTGAACCCTAGGCCTCGCATGTTAGGTAAGCACTCTACCTCCAATCTTATCCCCAGATAATAATTCTTTAACAAATTCAATTAAAATACACACGGATTTGCACACAGTAGTTGCTTTGATAAAAATGTACATTTAAATACAAACGCTTCCTTATGTCTATCTTTTTTTCAGGACCACTAAAAAACAGATTATACAAAAGGCAGATTATATGGCTGTGCAATCCAATTAACACATGCAGATAAAGAACGATGTATAAATTACTACTTGGTTATAAAGAAGACAAGTACTTCGTAGACAGGACATACGTTAAGTTCGGGCAAAAAGTTTTGCGGAGGTTAAGCTTTAAACCGGGAACTACTTAAAGACATCTATGGTGATTCTACTAGGCGCAGAACAAAACTCCAAAGGACTAGCCTTTCTTGGTTAGAAAAATTAATGTTCTCACACAATTCTAACACCAGAACAAGATATAACACCACATTCAAGTTTAACTTAATTACAACAGGGCAAGAATGTATCGAAACAGCACGTGGTACCCTATTCATATGTAGGATTTCTTTCTTTCTTCTTATTTTTTAAATATTTCTTTGTAGATGGACACGATACTTTTATTTATTTATGTGGTGCTGAGAATTCGAACCCAGGGCGAGTGTTCTATCACTGAGCCACAACCCCAGCCCTTGTAAGTAGGATTTCTATGTATGAATTACAAATGAACTTAAATTTAAAAAGGAGAAAGAAAAAAGGAATGGAATTTCTTAGTAAAAGCTCAAAGAAATAGTTATGCATTTTTGTCTTTTCGATTGCCCGGGCTTCCGGCTCGAGAGCCAGACCCTGGTGTGAATCCCGAGGGGCTTCAGGTCCGAATAAGAAATGGGCAGAAAGGGGCCCAAGCCGGTTCGGCATACTCACGCCAGTCACAATGGCGGGAAATGGAGAAGACTTAAAGAAACTTGGGGCACGCATGGAAGCGGCCCTTTCCGTGCGGACCTCACACATACTCACTTTTTCAGCTCGGGAGGATGAGCCTTGCTCATATTGTCTACTCTTCAAGCTCAAAGCCGCTTTGAATCGGAATTGGCGGCCTCCTTCACGCTACCGCGGTAGACTCGGCGTTTCACGATTGACGTCACCGGCCCGATAGCCAATCGTTGGTCGGTAATTTTTACATCTCACCTCGCGATACTTACAGGAAGTCCAAGCACGTTGGTCAGGCGCCGGTTTCCGGTTACGTCGTGGGCGATTGGCCTTGACGGAGAGGAGGGGCCTTGATTGTTTCCTTTTTGTGAAGTTGAGGTCAGGTGTCTGGTTCTGGGTAACCCCGGCCAGTTATGTTTGTGGATCATGTTGCTTATTTTCTTTATATATGCCGAATGGAAATGAGTTCTGGAGGAGTGGGCCTATATTTCTTTGGCAGGAATTACTACTTTGTTCCTGGGCTTCCCATAACACCCAAATTAATGATTTAGAAGTAAGGCTGCTGGGTCTGTCTCCAGGAATTTGAACCTAGAGCCTTGGAATGTGGTCCCTATTGATGGCCCAGTAATTCTTTCTTCTCTCTCTCTCTTTTTAAATTATTATTTTTAGTTGTAGATGAACACAATACCTTTATTTATTTAGTTTTTTTTTTTTAATGTGGTGCTGGGGATCAAACCTAGTGCTTCATGCATGCTAGGCAAGCCCTCTGCCACTGAGTCATAATCCCAGTCCCCAGTAATTCTTTTAACACTGCCTCCAGAACTCCATTCAATGTACCACGCACCCAATCTATGAAACGCAAAGTGCAGCGTAGATATTCTCTAAGGAGGTATTGATTTTCAACATCAAGTATACAAGTCTAAAAAGTGGATTCCCATTTGTTTTCTGTTGTTATCCCAAACAGTAAAATCCAGATTAAAGTTAAATGCATTCCTAATGTTCAGTATAGTAAAGACAAAATACATCATATATTTGATGTATGATGGTACTCAAAAATCCTAGGCACTGAATTTTCTCTTGAAGGGTCATAACAATGTAGCTTTTCCATTACTTGCTGTTACTGTTGAAACTAGAAACTTGACATATGGTTTTTTTAGTTTCTTTTCTTCATTAATGGATTTCAAGTCATCATGTCCTAGCCTTCCCTCTGTGAATTGGTCCTACATCTGAACATATAATTAATTTCCACTCTTCCATACATCTTAAAAAATTTCACACATAATGAGAAGAAACATACTAAGAAAGTGACAAAATCACTGTCCAGATACAAAGAAACATCATCACAGGGAGATAATGAAACTATTTATTTTAAAACCAAACCACTAGGAAAATATATTACAGCCTTGACAGAGCAAACAGACAGGCTATACTATCATTTCAAGTAATAAATTTGTAAAAAAGACAACATGCTCCTTATCCAGAAGTTAAGGTGCCAAGCTGGGGCASGAATATTGCATGTTGCAAAGGCCCCAGGCAAAAATGGTAAAGGTTACTGTTTGGGTTGTCCTTCCTTTGCTCTCAAAGTGGGAGTGGGTGTCACAGTTTTTCCTAGCCCAAGCTGTTTACTTTTTAACTTTCCTGTTGCCAGGGGATTATCTC